GTAAATACGACCTGTTAAATCGCCTCCATCCTTCGACGATTGAAAAAGGAAATTAATCAGCAGCAGACGTTTGATTAACGATGACGTTCAGACTTTCAGAGGTTTTTGATTAAAAAACAAAAAAAGACAAAAGAAAAAAACCCGAGCTAACGACCCGTTTCTAACTTCCTTAGACTCGGGCTAATCCAACCCATATGCATCACAAACACAGCAGCCTACCAACATGGGGTAGAAGTGCTGCGGCCGTGCACTGTGTCTTTAACATAATGCTTCAGAAAGAGAGAGAGAAAAAAACAAAACAAAAAGCAGATCCTTTGTTTCTCCTCTGACTTTACCGGCACTGGACTCCGGCTCAGTTTAACCGAACAAACAAACTTCACCACGACAGCCGTCTACTGCTGAACTCAACTCTGACGTTTTTTTTGTTTGTTAAACCCACCGCCATGTCCCAGTGTGTAATCTACAAAACCAGGACATCTCTCTCTGTGCAACTTCTGAAGATCAAATGTGAAACAGCCTGAGTCGAGAAAAGCACGGCGAAAAAACCAAACATGCAACTCCCGAAAGGAGAAGCAGGAACAACAACATAGCTGAGATAAAAGCGACTTACTTGCCTTCACGCTGATGAGGAATGATGAGGAGGAGGAAGTTCCAGCGAACCTTAATAGTTTACAGCTGTGTGGCAGATGGTGGTACACTACGCACTGCAGTCAGGAGAAATGATGGGCTTTTGCAACCTCAACAAGAATCCTTAGCCCAGACACATGATACTTGACATTCAAACTCAACTTCCTCCGCCCACAGTTTGTCCAAAACAGATTCTTTTGGAGTTGTGCGAAAGCAAAAGAAAAAAAAAAAAAAAAAAGGAACTCTTTTGATAGAAGCCTTTCACTGCAGTACACCGTTACATACCAGACACCACTGAGTGAAGACACTGTGCCGGAGGTTGCCGTGCGACTGCCCAGCTGCAGTACGTGGGGCCATGACAATAATACATGCACACAGTGAACCACAATAAACAGCTCTAGTACATAGAACATAGAACAGCCAAAGGTCACTGATGTCATTTCCTTTACCACAGGACTGTGAAGACAAAAGGAAACACCGTGAAAAGAAGCTACAGCCTGAAGTCAGTCCAGTTTATGGGTCTACATGCAACCTGTGAGACCACAATCAAAACAATACACTGGAGTACGACCCCCCTCCTGACCCCCCCACCCACACACCCATCATGTTATAGGATGTGAACTTGATTTTTTAGCACTCAAACCTTTGTAACGCTGCTTCTCTGGTTCAATAAATGTCATTTTCAAATGTGTTTGAATCGTTAAAGAACGGAGCCTGGACTCTGGCATCTTAAAGACAACTTTAACCTGTTCTAATACTTCAGGTAATACCTTCAACGAATGTTCTCCCTGTGGGGTTGGAACAGGAAACTGTTCCTCTAACAATGATGCTCACAGTCCTTCCAGTCTTTGCATTTCATTCTCTTTGTTTTAAAAATAAATTCCTCCAGTGTGTTAGAGGCAAACAGTTCTGTTTTAATGATGTGCTTCTGTATAATTTCTGTAAAAAGGAAATAAATTATGAAATGAATTGAATACATTACAGACGAAAAGTTAGAAAACGTCTGTAGAGGAATAAAGTTTGAAACATTTTTTTAATTTCTACTTCTTGTTGGTGGGTTTTGTAGCACAGATCGACCGGCCAATGAAACTTAATTAAACAAACTACTATATGTACCAGGTGAACCGTACCAGGTGGGGAGATGGGGTAGGAGAAAGCACTTTAAACTCTGAAAATTAAAATGAGTTCATCACTACTCTGTAGTGATGCTAGTGCTGTGTATCAGCAAGAATCTGGTGATACGACATGTATCACAATACAGAGGCAACGATACGATATACTGCGATATTCTGCGATACCATGTCCTGTAGCATGTACTGTATATATAGCATCATTTTCAGGCAAATGACAGACAGCGTTGATATTAAAAACTCTCTGTTTACACTCTGGTATATAGCAGTCATCTCAAGGCTCCACCTCTCCATCACTTCCTGATGGAGTCTTTAGAAGAATATCAAAGTGTTGAACCATAAAGCCTAGAGCAGGAATATGTTTTTTGCAGATACAATATCGCTAAATGCTTCAGACAGACAGATGAATCAAATAACAAATGACTGGGGACATACTGGGGAAGATAAATCGATATAGATGAAAACTTAAACTGATGAATACAAATAAAGAGGAATACAATTAGAATTTAATCAGCTGTAGTATATCACTTCAGTGCTGAGGCGTTGACTCAGCCTTTTTCACCCCTAGCGTAGAAAAAAAAACGTTTGTTCAGGCTCCGCCAGTTTTCACTCTGGGCTATCAGACGGTTCTGTTCTCTTAAACT